TATAAAATTGTAATGAAAACTGAATTACGTGAAAACATTTTCAAGAGGAATACATGTAAACTCATTAGCTTACTGCTTTAGATCTAAACAAAAATAAGAACAATACACAGCATTTCACGAAAAACATGTATACTCAAATGAAAACAGATCATTTAAATCTGTCAATATTGAAAACACGCGCAGTTCGATGATTTTCTTAAAAGTACCTGTTTACTAGGTTCCTCGATAACATGTTTGCTGATACATGTTCGTATAATATACAAGTATGCATTCGGACTTTTTCACAATGCATTCCATAATTTTGACACCTGTGGCTACGGTACTCCATTCGGATTCCCTCCGCCTCCGGACATGCAACCATATCCGTTGTAACAGTAATGAAGCGGGTCATTTTGCGGACGGTTCCAGGTTTCCAGTACATTAAGGTTTTTATGAAAAATTCATACTGCTTAAATTAATCCATCAAATACAATTGCACACTCCTTTAACATCGCTTGACTTTCCAATGCAACCATCTCTTTCGTACTTTCTGATTTGTTTGAACCGTCTACGATGGACCTAGGCCTGTGACGTAATGTCACGTGCAGTTTGATTTCGAGGGAGTTACTATGCAAATGACCATGACACAAGACATTTACAGACACTTTCTTTCGTTTGGAAGGAATTAATTATACAGAGAGGCGTGTCTGTCTCGTCGCTGCGAGACTCGATTTCCACTCCAATAAATACCTTACAAACGAAAGAAAGTACTGTAAATATAACTTATCTTAGTATTCTATACTGTTGTTCCAATAAAAATATAAATAATACTTATCATGACATTCCAGTTCGTTCAACTGTTCGTTCACCTTACAAACCATACTCTTCAGAATTCATCCCACTCCCCCTGAAATAAACAAAAAATATTATTTATATTAAAAAAGCTCTAGTTCATTTGAGATACCAATAGTACTGTGACTACGTCGGTATAAGCATGAGTAATCATTGTAACACTATACAAGAGAAAAAAATAAACTTACATATGTAAGGCTTTCAATCGTAAATGATATTTATAAGCAAATGATTAGATCTCAAACAGATTAAGACATAAACTGTATTTATATTACAGTACATTATTCTGTCCTACTAAGCAAAATATTTTTCCAAAGCTCACTTTTTTCATGTATATCAGAGCGTCGTAAGAGACAATGTGGCCCTCAGAATGATTCATTGAGGAATGTTGAATAACACTTTGCAGACACTTTTGCATCGATAGATTATTTCTAGTCATAAATCAGTCTAGTCAAAGACATCTCTGATATGTGTTTAAAATTTGGGCCAAGAGTGAAAAAAAAATCATTAATGTAATGTGATTTTAATTGACTTAAGGTGTCCAATCCCTTATAGCAACAGATTCAATGAAATTGAATACGTAAAAGATGCTTAGGGGTTGAATTCTCTGTGTATTTGGACATTAATCCCGTTTATTACACTTAGCATTGATAGTGTGATGTGTCCTTATTTATGACCTTGAATTTTGGTAAGAGTTATTTCCCTCTAATTTTAATTAATTAAAAAAATGAAAAAAAAATAACCGAGCAAAAAATATTAAAAGTTGTCATTCTATTTCTAATTTTTCACTGCATCTTTCCATCGCAACATTAAATGATATTCTTATTACTTGAATTGTTATTTTCAAATAATGATTTTACCCTATAGACTTCAATGCAATCTTTGCTAATTAATGCTTTATTTAGTGATTTTTTTTTAAATTTCTTCACGGGCAGTCATTTTCTAATATAAATGATTTAATTTCATATCAGAGTATTATGTACAGTACTTGATGTTCATCGAATTTATACGGAGTATTTTACAAGAATGTGGTTGAAATCGATGTATATCTGGATGATGCGAAATGTTAAAAATTGGAAAAAAAAAAGATTTTTGAATGTTTTTGAGCAAAGACTGATTTATCAATTTCAGCAAAAATGGAAGTCGGTTGTGCTTCATGTAGGAAAGGCAAATTTTATGATTTGTTAGAAAAAGTACCATTACATCTAGATACTAATTTAGTGTCAGTGAATCAAAGAATACTGTCGTGTCTAATTTCGACTGTATATTTAACCTTGGGGAACTCGCTTGCAGTGAGGGACCCTTTTGACCCAGTCTCCTGTCCAGTACGGTTTGGGATGACTGTAAAATATATATAACCAGGGAAAGCGTAAATAAAGTGTAACTTGTTTTATTGCCGTCTCCGATCAGATGGATCCCAGTAGGGGAAACAATCTATATCGGAGACTCCACGCTTCCCTGCACAGGTATTGACCAATCAAAATCTATATCCGTGCATAAAAATTTAATTTACGGTTAATCTTCTCACTTCCTAATTATGTAATTTATTTATTTACTTGACCAATTGACCATACTTTAACTATAAACATAACCCCTTAGGACTTAACACTAAATCGAATGGTTGACACCTTCTTTGATTCAAAAATTACACAGATAAAAGGAAACCCTCAAGTACAATTTTACATTTCTACATGTATAATAAAAAATATCTAATAGTCATAAATAACTCACACCAAAAGAAAAAGGCATCTTTTTACATCCTTAACTGTTGACCATTATTGATCTCAACATTTTAAACAATTTATGTGTTTTAGAAACAAGGTTAACAATTAAATAATACATGTACATTATGGCAAAAGAGGTCCTTCTTTGATATACATCGTCTTGTTTATAAAACATTGAAATAATTCAAATTAATCTGTTGTTTGCAAATTAAAACCATTAAATAATTACAGAAACTAAAAGAAGTGAAAAACAACTTAATGAAATAAGAAAAATAAAAATGTTTAAACTCATTATTTCTATTATCAGGAGTCATTTAGTTATAACTGTCCTTTCTGACATAATTTATTTTTCAAATAAAATCTGCAACATGACGACTTTCTCCCTTGCTATAATTGCTTTCGTCCTCGAAAGTTCAAATTTTTATTAACGTGATATTCAAATAAATCGCCATTATTTTGAGAAAAAGTATTATATACAAAATGTACAATATATACAATGTAAATTAACATACCCTTGAGTAAAACAAACACTTTTATTCTCATCAAAATCATCTGAAAAATACAACTGTATTTTCATAAATAGAAGACAAATTGTAGCGAATTTATAAAAGTTAAAAAAAAATGGTAAAGTTTTGCGATTCCATAATTGTATTTTTTTTTTTTTTTGTAAAACTTTTAATCTTTTCTGTGTCGGTCATTTTAAAAGACAAGTGTCCTACATTTTACTTATTCAAATAAAATGCATAGTTATTGTGTAGAATAACTATATATGCTCTAAATGGTTGTCTTAAGAGTTTGCTGAGTTTGTGATGAGATAAGGGGTTGAGTTTGAATTTGGAAGGGACTCTTATTGTTGTTTGGGTTTGTTTATCTGTAACTGAAAAATTTGACCAAGTGGCTGTCACATGACATGAGGGAAAATTTGATGCAGAAATATCTAAAATAGAAGGAGTAGTAATTGTGTAATATGATGGACATAAGGACAATGGTACCAGTGGAACCATAATACAATCCCCACCAGATGTCACCTCTAGCGCAATTGTTGACCCTTTTTGTGACCTAGCCTTGTAAAATATACAAATAATAACTAACAAAATAATGAAAACAATTAAGCCTACAATTATCATGACATGATTCCAAGTAAACTCAGTTATCCATTCAGAAATTTCATTTAGAGTAGTAGTAGTGGTAACAATTTTGTTATAAATAAATGACGGGACTTCCTCTGATGCTGCATGTTGCACTTCTTGTAAAATTAATAGAGATGTAGAAATTTTTCTTACTTTTATACATAACAAAATACACAATACCAAGCAAATTCCAGCCACCCCTAATGAAACCAATGTGATTATGTCCGAAGTAGTTGGCCAAGCACCTTGGATCTGTATTTGACCATCTACTAACGGTTCAGCTAACGTTCTAAAAATTTTCTTATCATTTTTCACCGCAACTGCGATTTTCTTTAAACTAAGGTGTGCCTTTTGGTCATTAGCTAAAACATCAGATATGGAATGGTTATAAAAGTTGAAATCAGGAATTGACATATTGACTGGTTTTGAAAAGAAAGAATTTCCAAAAATTGTCGTGTCTAATTTCGACTGTATATTTAACCTTGGGGAACTCGCTTGCAGTGAGGGACCCTTTTGACCCAGTCCCCTGTCCAGTACGGTTTGGGATGACTGTAAAATATATATAACCAGGGAAAGCGTAAATAAAGTGTAACTTGTTTTATTGCCGTCTCCGATCAGATGGATCCCAGTAGGGGAAACAATCTATATCGGAGACTCCACGCTTCCCTGCACAGGTATTGACCAATCAAAATCTATATCCGTGCATAAAAATTTAATTTACGGTTAATCTTCTCACTTCCTAATTATGTAATTTATTTATTTACTTGACCAATTGACCATACTTTAACTATAAACATAACCCCTTAGGACTTAACACTAAATCGAATGGTTGACACCTTCTTTGATTCAAAAATTACACAGATAAAAGGAAACCCTCAAGTACAATTTTACATTTCTACTTGTATAATAAAAAATATCTAAAGTCGTCATGTTGCAGATTTTATTTGAAAAATAAATTATGTCAGAAAGGACAATACTATACCGGTAATAACATTAGCAAGATTTTATGACTAATCTCTGAACACGGAAATATTCTTCTTCTTTTTTTGTCTTGAAATATTATACATTCCTTTGTACATTTTTTAAAAGACTTTACTAGGTGCGCTCACAGAATGTCTACTGGCTCAAATAATGTGTAATTATTAGCGGTTCACAAAAGAGAGGGGAGTACAAGTAGTGTATATCAATCTCTACCTATCTGTGATAAATAAATATCAAAGATACAACAAACATACATTTATTTTCAGTATGTTAAAAGTAAGGTGTAAAGTGGAAGGATTTCTTTAATGATAGTTTATTATTTTCCCCTGTCTAGGTAAACGTAAATGGAATTATCTCATTTCAAAAAGCCATACAAGGATATACGACCACACCCTTTCCCATTGGTGACGGTGTTGGAACTATAGCTCCGTTCTGGGCAGATATTGATACGACATACACAGGGACCATTTGGTACAGGGAGCTCATTAACCCTACGTTACTAGAAAGGGTCAGCGAAGAAGTTCGTGGTTCTTTCTCTCAGTTCTACAGATTCAGAGCTTCGTGGATATTCATTGTGACCTGGGAACGTGTCCCTTTTTTTGGATGCTACTCTTCACCTTGTTCGAAGGTAAAGAAAAATTCGAAACAAGTTTTCATTTACTTTTTATAATATTAAACAAGATTGTAAAAGAAAATATAAAGTAACTCTGCACAGCTTATGTTTATTTGTTTATTTTTATTAGGCATATGGAGAGTCCTTTGGATTTAAAAACAATTCTCCATTTTCTTAGAAAAAAAATTGTTCCAAAATTGTTGTCCTAACCTACCCCGGGGACAAGGGTTTGAATAAACTTGAATTCACACTACTTCAAAATGCTTGCATATTAATACAAATATTTTTACCTAGTTAAATATGATGTAACGTCTCTATATGAGTGAAAAATTTTCTAACGGGGACCTAAAACATTTAACAATAAATCAATTAATTAATCCATTATTACATTGTCTTTGTCAAAAAACATACAAGAATTATGTTATAAAAGATGTAAAATCAAACAAAATTTTCCTTCAGTTTTCAATGCATTTGAACAATAAAATGATTGTGGTGATGAATTAATCATGTATCACTGGTATTTCAGACAAACACTTTCCAATCGATTCTGATATCAGATGGACAACATTCATTCGTTATTTTCAATTACGAACAAATTCAATGGGGAGGAACTGAAGAACAGGTACTTTTGAAGGCCACAGGGCACTCCAGTTTATATTCTACCTATCTCATTGTAATTTAGTTCCTACTGGTCGTAATTATTATTACACCACTCTGCTATATATGCAGGTAAAAAAATACTTAATTTAACTTGCGTTCAATAACATGCATTGGTATTAACGATCCTCTAGTAAAACTTATGTCCAAATAACTGTATTTCACTTCCATTCTCAATGACCATGTGAAGGTCGGCGATGTGAGAATTCCATTGGTATCGAAAGCAAGTTGTTTTTTTTTTTTTTATATTTATATTAGATACACGTAGTATATACACGTAGTATATGGGTCCCTGATCTGACATAGTCTTTAAACAGTGAGCTTATTATTGTGCAGAGGTTTTCTTAAAATAAAAATTTGAAAAAAAGTTTGTTCAAATTCAAATTAATTTTGATTCAATTATCCTGAATGACCGATTAGCAACATTCCAATCGATTAAATGATTAACAAGTTACAGTTTGCAAAACGTAATATACATATTATATAATGCCAAATTTTCGTAATTATGATATTTTTCTGATTTTAATTCAGTTCAATTATTGGTTTAACATTCTCCCTCTTCATTCTTTAGGTTGGATTTAACTCTGGAGATGGTGTAACTTATTACATGCTTAATGATATTGTGAATGTGGACAAAATGTCAAACGTTGGTATACCAGGGAAATTTGTCTTTAGAGTAGACTCCTCCATTATTACCACGGGGAAATGCAACACCGAAGGTAGTTATGTAGATGTGAATTTAATTTTAAGGGGACCGACGGGGGCTTTAGAGCAAAATGCAAAAGACCTAGAGGATTCCCCTAATATCAATACGAAATACACAAATGAATATATTTATATCCGTGAAGTATATCTTGAAGATATATGTTTCTGATATGTAATATACAAATTTACTTATCACTTGCTTTAAAAAAAATGACACGTCCATTTCCTGAACATATTTTGTTCTTTCGCATAAAAAATTACTGTGCGCAGTGTTAATTTTTAGTGCTGTCTATACCCTTCTGCTACATATTGACTATAATGTCAAGGGCACGTTTTAAAAATGAAATATCCCACTGTATGAAATATATGGAGTATTCAAGATCAAAAGTCAATACAAAATAAGAACAGAGTAAACACGGACCTCAAACACATCAGAGTTGGGATCAGGTGCCGTGGGGGAGTGTCAACCCTTTATATGTCTTATACGGACCGGACCTTTTCTTATAAAAGGCGGACAAAGTATGAGCAGCGATCGATGGATCTTTATCGTGCCAACGGTTTGTTCCAATCTCGCCTTAACTGTAAAATTTAGCATTCCCATTTCGCCTGAGTAAGCTCTCAGATAAAATAAGGTGATGAAGATTTAATATATTTAGCATAAAATTTTTTTTTTGGTATTTTTTTTTTTGGTATAACATGAATTATTTCATTTATTGTATTTATAAATTCCCATTAACTGTTAAATTCAATCTAAAAAAATTAACATTAAATTTTTATGTCAACCCAGTAATAATATTTACTAGTACGAGGGTTGATCCGAAAGTAATGTCACTGTGTCCATATCTTTAATATTTGGCGTCGCATTATCAAATATAATGCACCAAAAGATACAGAAAAAGAAATCTAATCAAAATTGAAACTTTCATTTGATAATGTTTAATTGAATTCATTTGATAGACGTTTAAAATTTAAATTTAAATTAAAATTAAATTTAAATTAAGATTTAAAAATTTTAAATTTAAAACATAGGGGGTGTCGCCGCGTCAAAACTATACGTCACGTTTTAAAGTGTATATTGTTAGAATAAAAAAGAGACACACATTTAAAAAAGCATTTAAAAAAGCGTCGAATCGCCCAATATTTAAAAAAAAATACAAAATGACGACAATTTTTAGTCTTCATTAAAAAAAAAAATGGCATTGTTTTTCATCATAAACATTGCTGTTTATATCTGATGCATTGAAGAAAGAAAATGTCGAAATGGAATAAAACGCCGAAATGAGCTGCAATGCGTTTTTCTTTCAAAATCGGGAAATCGCCAGTAGAGACAGTTATGATGATAAATCAGACTCGCAGAGGAAATAATGTAAAAACGAGACTTGTTCGTAGATGGTTTCAAACATTTTGGGTGGGTCGTTGGTAATTAACTGATTAGCTGAGGACAGAAAGACCGAAAGTTACGAGGTCGGGTGGAAACGTTCAATAGCCTCCACCTTTTCAAAAAAAAAAAAGAGATTCGTGTCACGCGGTTTGAGTGATACATTGTATGAGAAACTTTTAAGTTTGTCTTATGGTACTGTTCAAATAATTTTGATGAAGGACTAAATTACTGATAGAGTGTACAATTGGTGACAATTATTCTTTAAAAAAGTAACATGTCTGAATGTGATTATGAATATAAATTATTTTAATGAAACGATGGGGAAGAGTTTTTTAAACTGTGTGACGGCGCATATCCGTTATATGACGTTATTGAGTTGCGGCGACTACCATAATAGCACTTTGTATATAATTCGATATTTTGAAAAGTATAAATCATTTCAATTTGAATTTTTCAGGACTGGTTTGAAATATATGTAGCTACCATCATGTATAATTTTGATAATTTACGTTGCCTAGTAGTAATTTTATCGAAGTTGTGACATTACTTTTGGATCAACCCTCGTATAAGTACTAAAATTCCCATTTCGCCTTAATACTTTTTAACTTTTTCTTACCTGTATTTCACAGTTAAGGCGAAATGGGAACACACCGTTCCAACACCTGCCTTGACACGGGAATTCGTTTTTTTAAAAGGTCACACAAGAAGGACCCGCAACTTTTACTTCAAAGTGCCGATTAAGTGCATTTTTTTTCTAACTTTCGCAGCTGAGGTTGGAACTTGAGGATTTGTATGGAATTTTATTTGATGTTGGAACGAGGATATTTCGAAATATCCTATATTTACATAAAACATTATCATTATCATCACCTAGAACACAATGTTACAGAAAAAAAAAGAGAAAAAAGGAATATCATAAGGTTGAAAATGTCAAACAAAGTGTTGAATAGCTCTTGATATTCAGATGAACTTATTGAAGTATATATTTTATTCTGGGGTTCTTTCAGGAAATCTGACGATTTCTCCAGGACATGGCCCAATGTTAGGGGGACAGTATTTAGTCCTAAGTGGTACATGTATTGAAGACTCTGCAAACATAACGGCTACTTTCCAGGGATCCAGAAAATACAGATGTGAAAGAAAATCAAAATTCAGCATGGTTTGCATTACTCCTGTCTTCAATTGCACGGGTGAAATCGTCATAAGGATAGAAATTGAGAACCAAGGTGTGACAAATTTCTTTCATGGTCTCTACACAGTCGGTAAGTAGGCCTTGTCAAAATTTGTGAATCTTGTTATTTAAAACGAAATATTCTTTTTCTGTCATGTTTAATTTCAGACGCTCTAACCATTGCGCCAAGTGGGCGACTTTTTTTTGTAATGGGATCATTTGAATTATATGATCATGATTGATAGATACAAATACTTCATAGGTAATGTTTAAGAAAAGGTAACATTAGAATACCGTCGTTTATCTCATGTAACGGAAAGCTGACATTTTTGTTTCAGATGGAATCTAACATACTTCAAAACAGAGATGCAATAAATTGATGAAAGTTTTAGTTAAAAAAAAATTCCAATTTTTAAAATAACTTTCTGTGACAACTGGAAGTGACGAATGACGCGTTTAATCCAAATGATTTTTTCTCCTCCTCAAGATATCCAATATTTCTTACTGGGAAATCATCAATTTTGGTAGAGTTTAATTTTCGTGGTTTTCGAGGTATGGAAAGACCCTTGAATTTATGTCCACAACGAAATGCCATTTCATACATATATTTCTACTGAACAATTCGTCAATCATGAAATAAAATCCCCACTGAACCAATATAATTTCCTCAAACCACGAATTTTGGATCCCTCGAAAATATGTGATTTTACAGTATACTTATAGGAATTTGAAATCTAAATCTCTTACGTTTTTCCGAGATCAAGAGAGATAACTATCATTTTGATGATAGGAAAATTCACGACTGGAAGTGAACTCTATAAAGATTTTTTTTCCTTGGTCTAGACATTCACAGTCTATATTACTTATCTAAACCATATCTTAGTTATGTTAATTGTTGGTGTTTGTAAAACGTATATGACAATTTTCATCAAAATCGATATAGAAATAAGAATAAACACAATGTCTCAAAAAATTCTAAACAGTCATTGTGTTTCAGCACTTAGTTTAGTATTGTTAATTTAGTTAACCCTGCAAACAGCAAACAAAGAGTCTTCAGAGAAAACTATCCTGAATGGTTCATTGGACAGCAGTCAATATCTTGGGACCCATATGTTGTAGAACTTGAGCAGAACGACACTGTGGATATTTATCTCTTTTCTTTAGTAGTAAGATGATTATACTAAATATCAAAATTAATGAGAAGTAAAATAACACAAGATGATTTTCTGCATTCAACCAAAAAAAAAAAAAATTCAGTGCTAACGTGAATTTTCTTAGGTGGACAACAATCGTCATTTGACGTGGAAAAGTCAGATTCTTCAGAGGGGTATCCAGCGTTCCTTGGGATCAGCAACAGTGCTTTTACAAACAAGTGATTCTGCTTTAGCGATAAGAGTAACATCTGCTGCTCAAAGTTATGATCAGTAAGTAAGATTTATTGATTGATTGTAGGTTATTTTACGTGAGCAACAAAAAAAAAAAAAAAATGGGCGGCGTAAATCGAAGGTTTTACATGGATTTGTGCCCTGTGTTTTATTTGTCCAAATTTTCTCAAGCAGAGAGCTCCAGTTCTGCAGCTATCTGATCAACAAAATGTATAATTTTTAAAAAGTTTTTCATATTTTCATTTTTTTTAAAGAATGTGGTAGATTTTCCAAACAATCTTAATGTTGTATATAAAGAACTATATTTTGCGTATCAAGAATTTTCAGTCTTTGACAGAACTAATTGATTTTTGAAAATTACTGTACCTTTATTTTGGAAATGTTAAAATTTCTGAGTATATAAGGAGGAGATTATCTTAAATTAAAGGACTTTTGTCTTATCCTTTTGACATTTTCAATGAAATATGATCAATTGTGTTAAACATAACTAGTTTGCTGATAAACAATAAATTCTTTAATGTTTTACGAGACTGGAGTCTGATAGTTAGAGTTATAATTTTTGTGAATAGTATTTTATAGATTTAAAATAAAATCTTATTAGAGTGGAACTGCATTGTACCAACCACTTATTGAACTCTCCAACAAAATTTTGAAGAAAAAAAATTGAGATTGACGGTCTTATCCAGGAAGGTGGTATAACTCGCAAGCTAGAAGTATAAAATCTTACATTATATTATCAAAGTTTTTATTGTGTAAGATACACAATAAATAAACAAACTTCAGAATCAAACAAGAAAGGCCATTTTTTAATGTCACGGCGAAATTGTTATCGTAAAGTCTATCTAAAGTAGTTTCCCCCGAATGCTGGGTCGTGCAGTTCTCCTAAAATGCAAGACCGTGAAGCCTAGCATGCTTATTCTAGAAATATACACTACCGTAGTTGCTAATTATCGAATCCCCATCTCTCTTAATTCAAAATACATGTTAAATTTTACACCCTGTAATATATTTTGCAAAGTAAGTCAACCATCATGGTCAAGTGTACTGTAAAGCTGATATTTTTTTTTTTTCAAAATGGTTTATGACAAAAAAAAATGCACATTCTAAATAGCATAGACTTATTCCTTATTATCAAAATGAAATTTCGTATTGGCAATGTCAACTACTTTAAAAATTAGATCAGAAGAAAGGATCAAGGATAGCTCAGTCGGTTGGCATGATGAAATACAAAAACAATAGTGCCAAACTATATGTGTGCAAAATATCACATATTAACCTTATACAGTTCTCGAGATATAAGTTGTGACAGAAGGGCAGACAGACAGACGGACGGACGGTCGGATGGACAGTTTGACAGACAGAAAGACGTCGGATAAAGTTATCCTTAAATACCGCTCTGCAGGCAATACAAAAATAATAGGACTGTAAGTTCCCTTCAGATGGTATGTTTCAGAGTAAAGAGAGTAATTTTTAACCTCTCATTTTTGTAGACCTGATAGAGGAATTTGGTCTGACATATTCCCTTTAGCCCTACCCCCAGATCAAGCTCAAAAACTCTGTAATGTATGGCTTAAGAATGAGACACAATTACCTCAACTGCCGACCAATGATGTTCAACCCTGTCCGTGTACTCTGGGCCAAGCTCTACTGGATATAGTCCGATTCCAGCCAGATCCAGATTGTAACATGTTGACGCGGCCGTCTGTGTTCTCGCGTACTGGTAATTGTGTGAACAGGAAAGAAGCAAAACACTGTGTCCGATTTCTGAATTTGGGGTAAGATATGCTAAGACATTTTGTTGGAAGATATGACGATGTTTTTGTTTGTATTTTTTCCTTTAGAATTTAAATAGTTCATGATTGCCGCCCATTCATGTCACATCAAGAGCCAATTACACATTGATTGTGACGTACTAAAATGCAACAATATGAAATTAAACGTTCTTCTTAGTATGCATGGGAAGACTTACTACAGGAAAATATATAGAACGTTAACAATTGCACATTTTTATCTCATTTTTCTCGAGTGCATATTTTTCCTGAGAAAGGAATACTATATGTATGAATTATTTATTTCATTTCATTAGACCTGACGGAATAGACAATTTGTGTTGTTACGATGTCACAAATAATCTGATGGTCTCAAGAGAGAAGGAAGGAGGAAGTCTCCAGCGATATCATTACGTCGGTGGACAAAACACGCAACCGTACATTACACATTTCTACTTCGACGTCTTACCATTCCTTCACTGTTGCCGATATTCTCCAAACGTGTACAAAGATAACAAATGCAATGATTCCAATATGTGTTCGAGTTACTTCAAGCATAGGCAACGCAGTTCATGTTTTAACTACGTTCCTCCTCAACCAGGTGAACTTCTTGGTTAATTTGATTTCATGTATGCACATCAGGAATAAAAAAAAAACATATCCTTTCATAAGAAAAGAAAAAAGAATCGAAATGGAAATAAAACGATTAAGACATCCTTTGCACATATGTAGGACTCCAAAGTGATATGAGACTCAAAAGTCTGATGGTCAAGCCGAAGTCCGATGGTCTACGCCGAATCCTGATGGTTTGAAATGCCAAGGCCCGACGGACCAGAAAAAACAGTTTACGTTTGTGACGTCATGGTACTACTGAGCTAAATTTAGATTTCGTGCCAGGCCTAGGTTTTATTTTAGCAAATAAATATTAATATCAAGGAGATTTTACGGAAAGATGCAAGACTAATCCTAATCAGTCAAAAATGTGTAACTTTAACATAAATATCTTTAGTTAGTGCTAGACTAACCCAAAGCAAGTGACATAGAGTGCGAGGTCAAACCCTAAACCCCTATCAGGTGGGGTCGAAGTAACGCTTTATCAGTGTACCAGTGTTCAATGACTTACCCCTACCGGTTGAGGACTAGTCCTAAAATATATGATAGGTGCAAGTAATACGCAAAATCAGTAAAATCGTATTCAAGGACGAATTCTGATATGATTGTTTTTGAATGCAGGACAACGGCGTTGAGATTGAGGTCGATAATTGTGACGTCATCAACGTTGATTGTTCCTCCGCAACATCTTACCTTTGGTGTGGCATACTATCGCACCTAGCGCATCGCTTCTCGTTTGAAACGAGCCATTGTACTATGGACTGACAGTTGGATTTTGGTGTCTTTGGCATGACCATTGTACTTTGGAGTCTTACACAGATATATATATATATATAGGGCTTTTGTGCCCTGTAGGGCAGCGCCGCGAGAATTCCAGCGGCATCGAAAGCAAGTTTTTTAACTTGCCTAGATAGCCGAGCGGTCTAGTGCGCTGTTCCTGCACTGCTAGGAGACAGATTCCGTAGGTCGAGAGTTCAACCCCGGGCTTGGGCGGAAGTGGGTATCCATGTAAAAGTGAATTTCTTTGTGCTTTCTGTATTAATATTTCTTTACTTAGGGCAGTTATGTTAGTTTGAGAATTGTTGTAAATTGTGCTTTATATATATATATATATATATATATATATATATATATATATATATATATATATATATATATATATATATATATATATATATATATATGGGACGCGGAGGGGAATAGTCACTCTTCTGTACATTTACATGCATGAAGTTCTTGTTGGCTGGGTAGTAATGCAATACTTATTTTGTAGCCCAAATTAAGGGAGACCCCCATATTACTACATTTGATGGATTTAAATATACATTTAATGGTGTAGGAGAATTTATGCTTTCGAAAACTGTAGACGGATCCTTTCAAAGTCAGGTGCGGTTTGAACAGTTTCGGGAAGAGAACGGTATGTTCACGTTAAGAATACTAATATATGTACAACATATGGATAAATAGAAAACTTTCAAAAACTAAACTTATTGATTGAAAAACAATTCATAAGAACATGATTTAATTTTTTTACAATTGATTATTTATTCACAAAGGTAATTTGATAAGTGCAAGTAGATGCACTGCCTTGGCAGCACAAGATTTATACAGCTCAGTTGTTGTGGAGGTCCTTTTAAACTCGATCAGAATTGCAGATGTTTTAGTTAATGGGAATAGAATTGATTTTAATGAGACCAATCATCGTCAAGTGGAAGGTAAATTATATACATGAACAACTGCTGTATAAAACTTCAATACTTTCTAACTTTTTATCTATAATCACCACATTATGAAGAACAAATGAAAAAAAATATTAAGCATTTTCTTTAAAAAAAAATATGTATGCAAAAAAATTTCCTCATTATAGAATAAAAAATAACAGGTAAGTAGAAGATATTCAATGTTTTGTAGTTGAATATGGAATTTATTTCACGAGTGGGACAGGATTTTTTTTTTATTTTCACGAGTGAAAATATAAAAAAAATCCTGTCTCACGAGTGAAATAAATTCCATATTCAACCACAAAACATTGATTTTTCTGTTTATTACATTTTCTTTGTTTTTCCCTTTGTTTACGTCTTTTTGTAATGCATTTTGTAATGCTGTCTTATGCTATATGACGTCATAGTTGAGCGGCTAACACGTAATAGCTAAGTGAAAAACATTGTAAACATGAATTTCAGCAACATATTTTGGGAACTTTCGCAGTTTTTTTTTCATGAAAGAATGGTTTATTAACTCGTGTTATATCTTATAACAGGTCAAAGGGTATATTTTAAAATACTCTTGGTAAAGGGAAAGAAAATCGAGAGTATTCCCGCACTTTTGATATTCTTCCACACCTTGACAGGATATCACTTTTATTCAATGAATAAATTAGAGTTTGTCACTGTTAAAAATGTAATTATGTCTTTTATCCAATCTATTTTAGGTGTTACAGTTTTGCAGTTTACAACTAATTCAATAAGCGTTAATGGAACCAACAAGGAATTTATTATAGCTTTTACCTCATTCGGTATCTCCTTCAAAGCCATAGCAAGTTCCAATATGCTGAATATTCTTCCTGTGATAGGAAATAGTTCACTGTTCGGTATGTACGCTTTTATATCGCTTGAGGTGCAGAGCGGCACTAAGGGGTAAATTAACCCGGCGTCTGTCTGCCTGTTAGTTGGTCTGTGTGTCCGTCTTTGTACGTTTTGTGTCGCCTGCGGAGCAGAGGGGCACTTAGGGATGACTTTACCCGGCGTCTGTTCTCCTGTTCGTCGGTCTGTTTGTCTTTTTTACCATGTATGTCAAGAATTGTTAGAGATGTGGACTTGATATTTTGCACATTTATCGCTTGACACTAAGGCATTTGTAAATTGCCATAGTTACTGACCTTGTGACTCTTGATTTGTCCTGTGCCCTACTTTACTAAAAAGTTGAAAGAGCCAATATACAACATATTTTTGACATTTAAGGAGTAATACTATGCTATTGAGCATATGCACTGATTGTCATGAAACATTTTGAAAAATACCAGGGATTTCATTCATTTGACCTTTGACCTATTTTACAAAGAATATCTGGGAAAATTCAATGTAATTTGAGGTATGTCACTCGTCAGCTTTTTACAAAACTAAGAACCTCTTACTTCAAAAAATGTTCATTAAAACACATTTTTATTAAATATTTAAATTCATCAGTGTACATTTTGTAACAGTCATCGCAAAAACTGCTCAAAAATCAACAAAGAAGCAAGATTTATGAGGGACCATTTCTTGTGGTGGAAGAATATTTAGCAGAAATTTCTGCTAATCTGCACAATCATTAAATTTACTGTATTCAAACTTTAGCCTCATACTTTTACTAGAATATTTTCCGTTATGATATTGCTGGGAGTGTTTAAAATAGGTCTTAAATGATATTTTTAGAAGAAGTTTTTCACCTTCCCTCAACAAACTTTGCCAAAAAAAGGAAGATATATTAAAGAAGTCAAGATAAAATTTACACCAGTTTTTGCCTGTAAATCACTTATTTTGACCAATATTTCAAAATTAACAGTACTGATTTCGAGAAAAGCTTGATATACGAAAATATTTTATTGCCAATTTAGTCTTTTTTATACTTTTACTTTTTAATTCAAAACGGTCACACAATAATGAATTCGCATTAATTTGCAAGTTTATTCAATGAAAAATAATATTCAAACTATTTCACGTAAAATTAAATTAAATTGCCATGGAAACATCTAATATAATATAATTAGGAATAAAGTAGGAAACCAAAGAGTTGAAATTTAAGTTCAAAAAGGTCAACCCAATTGTACCAAATATCAGTCAAATGCACACTGACCTCCTATTTACTCTGCGATTTTGAGTCATACTATATAAGTGCTTATCCAAAATATACTTTTTAAAAAATCCTTGATTTAACAAATTTCACGAGTGACATACCTTAAGACTTGAATTTTGAGGGCGGGTGTTAATAATTAACAGTTATACACCTTTATGAGCTCATAATTCTGTTCTTTGAAACAGTATAATATATAGAAGATACTCGTGAGGCAGGATTTTTTTATATTTTCACTCGTGCTTCGCACTCGTGAAAATAACAAAAAAATCCTGTCCCACTCGTGAAATAAATTCCATATTCAACTACAAAACATTGAATTTTCTGTTTATTACATTTTTCTATGATGTTTCCTTTGCCTACGTGTTTTTGTTATGCAGTCGTAGGCAACATGACGTCATAGTTGAGCGGTTGAGACGTCATTGCTAAGTGAAAAACATAATCATGAATTTCAGCAACATATTTGGGGGAACTTTCGGAGTTTATTTGAAGAAAGAGTGGTTTATTAACTCGTTTTCTATCTTATAATAGGTTTAGGAGTATTTTTTACAAAACGTGTGGTGAAGGGAAGGAAAATCGAGAGTTTTCCCGCACTTCTGATATTCGTCACACTGTGACAGGTTATCATTTTGATATCCTTTCACAATGTGACAGGATATCACTTTTATTCAATGAATAAATTACAGTATTTTACTGTTAAAAATGTAATAATCAGTAACCGAAAGTTATTAAAATACATCGAGATCAGGATTCTACAATGGATAGTGTAAAGTGAAAATAGGTTAAAGACTAAAATACAGAAAATTCGTATTATCACTTGTTAAACGATAAATAATTATTTATAATGATTTCAACATAATCATTCATTTGAGGGTTGGAAATCTTTTCTTGACTGATGACTCTATCGCAGACTTTTACTATGCGTGGACGTTTTTGTACATTTATGGGCTATCATGCTTGATTTTTGCATGGAATACTGCTATATGCTAGTAGCATATAAGTAGCTGACACTCTAAGATTTACTTAAACCTTTAAAGAAGCATGTGATACCTGCGTTCCTTTGATACTCTATTCTCAAATTCCAGTACCATATAAATGTAATGCATTTTTATGGAAGACATGCTTAGAAATTATCCTATGTTTATTTGTACACTATGCAAGGAAATGCATTATTAGTTTGGAATAATTTAAAAAATCCGTTTCTTTTGATTTTTTTTATTCCACGAATGTGTGTGTTTGTGGAGGATAAATACGCTTATAATAAGTGAGATATTCCTTTTTTCAGGAAACCTACGAGGTCTTCTTGGAGATTATGATAAAGACTCAAGCAATGATTTAAAACCACCGACATTGGAGATTTTACATTCAAACTCAACATCGGAACAGATATATGATGGATTCGGGAATAAATGTAAGATAATCCCATGTGTACATAGTCAATCAATGCTACTTTGTAATTTTTTCATACATAAATGTTTTCTTTCAAAGGGAGAATAGCTGAAAATGAATCACTGTTCACGTATGGACCTTGGAAGACCTACAATGATTATCAAAAATTATCTTTTCGTCCGACATTTGATTTACCTGCAAATATTTCGGCCGAAGTAAAAGAACTGTGTACCGGAGACAAGGAATGTGAATTCGATTATGTCGTGACAAGATCTGCTGAATTTGGTGCTGAAACATGGAGGTTCTCCGTCCTTTATAATTCCTCAATTCAGGCATCTTACGAGAGTAAGTAAATCTAGTGTGATATCTTTATTTTTATAAATCGTTGAAGAAAAAATTAAAAGCAGCAATAAGTTAATTCATTTTTAGCTATTATTCCATTTTAAAGGATGTATTCAGCTCGAGGTATATATCAACATCTTATAAGTAGTACGTCTGTGCCTATTTTGTGATTATTTTCGTTCATACTTTAGAAAAGGTGCATACTGTATATCACTTTTTTCTCATATTTACGCTAGACAGTAATTTAATTTAATTCTCGTGTATAATTGTATTCCTAGGAATTATACAGTGTGATAACAACAATTCGCGAAAAGTTTGACTCGCTCATTAAGAATTAATGTTCGCAAAAATGTAGTTATCTGTAGCATATGAAGTACAACTCATATACAATTGTTCAGATTTCTTTATTCAGTAAGAACATGTGACAGTTTACCAGTGATCAGTGGAGGTTTTTGGAATACTTCCCAAACAATACAGGTGGAAGGATCTATTGCTACCTTTTCTTGCATGTGTGGGTATGAGCCACAAGGAGATAATTATAGCACCACTTGTAGGAATGGCTCTTGGAGTGCATTTAGTCACTTTTCGTGTCGTAAGTAAATCTAGTATGATACCAATCCATATCTTTATTTTTATTATTCATTGAAGAAAAATCTAATAGCTGCAATACGTTAATACATTAGTGGACTATTGTAGCATTTTAAAGGATGAATTCAGCTCGAAGTATATCTCAATATCTTATAAATAGTACTTCTGTGCCTATTTTGTGTTTACTTTTGTTCATACTTTAGATAAAGTGCTAACTGTATATCACTTTTTTTTCGCATATTAACGCCAGACAGTAATTTAATTTAATTCTCGTGTATAATTGTATTCCTAGGAATTATACAGTGTAATAACCACAATTTGTAAACATTTTGACTCGCTCATTAAGAATCAATGTTTATCTTTTGAAAATGAGGTGTCACAAAAAAAAGTAGTTATCTGTAGCATATGAATTACAACTCATATACAATTGTTCAGATTTCTTTATTCAGTAAGAACATGTGACAGTTTACCAGTGATCAGTGGAGGTTTTTGGAATACTTCCCAAACAATACAGGTGGAAGGGTCTATTGCTATCTTTTCTTGCATTCCTGGGTATGAGCCACAAGGAGATAATTATAGCACCACTTGTAGGAATGGCTCTTGGAGTGCATTTAGTCACTTTTCGTGTCGTAAGTAAATCTAGTATGATACCAATCCATATCTTTATTTTTATTATTCGTTGAAGAAAAAACTAATAGCTGCATTTTAAAGGATGTATTCAGCTCGGGGTATATCTCAATTTCTTATAGAGAGTACTTCTGTGCCTATTTTGTGTTTATTTTTCGTTATACATTAGATAAAGTGCTAACTGTATATCCCTTTCTTCGTATATTTACGCGAGACAGTAATTTAATTTAATTCTCGTGTATAATTGTATTCCTAGAAATTATACAGTGTAATAACCACAATTCGTAAAATTTTGACTCGATCATTGAAAATCAATGTTTATCTCTTGAAAATGAGGTGTCACGAAAATGTAGTTACAGACCCTAAAATTTTAAAACATATATAAACTGTCAAATTTAAAAAAGATCCGTATTAGACTTTCACATTAATTCTGTTAAGATTCTTACTATAGGCGAATCATTGGTGCAGTTATACTTGCACTAAAAATCTGTGAACATGTAAAATATGGATTAAAATATTACATGCGGTAAACGTGAAGAATTCTACTTAACAGACAGAGATAATAATCTTACTAATAAAATTGTAATCAACTTTCACGCTGCATACAAAAATCGCCAGTCGAATTTCTTGCAAATGAAATGTGCAAACTGCAGTATAAATATTACTTCATTCTGAAATACATCTTATGAAAAATTTAAAAAAAAAAAACAGTTTGCGAAAAAATGAAGATATTATAAGGTTTGTTACACTGTACCCCCATCCCCTTTCTAGAAAGCAATACGAATTTGCTGGTTAAAAGTTCTTTAAAAATCTGCAAAATGGTACGTTGTTGTAATAATAGAGAGCTGCATTATTTTTGTTCATAATAACCACAAAAAAATGATAATCTACAGGAAACATTTTTATAGTGTCTGAAGAAAAAAATAATTTACTAAATAAAATGAAATTAAAAAAATATATATATCAATCCTCTTTCAAGCCATATTATGAAATTTACAGTGTAATAACCACAATTCCCCCCCCCCCCCATATAGTACAACTCATATACAATTGGCAGTAAGATGTGACAGTTTACCAGTGATGTGTGGCTTTAAGGGTCTATTGTGCTTTTGTAAAAAAGAAAATGTAGGAATGGCTCTTATTTATTTTTGGAGTGCATTTAGTCACTTTTCGTGTCGTAAGTAAATCTAGTATGATACCAATCCATATCTTTATTTTTATTATTCGTTGAAGAAAAAACTAATAGCTGCAATACGTTAATACATTACTTGACTATTGTTGCATTTTAAAGGATGTATTCAGCTCGGGGTATATCTCAATATCTTATAGAGAGTACTTCTGTGCCTATTTTGTTTTTATTTTTGTTCATACTTTAGATAAAGTGCCTACTGTATATCACTTTTTTCGCATATTTACGCGAGACAGTAATTTAATTTAATTCTCGTGTATAATTGTATTCCTAGGAATTATACAGTGTAATAACCACAATTCGTAACAATTTTGACTCGCTCATTAAGATTCAATGTTTACCTTTTGAAAATGAGGTGTCACGAAAATGTAGTTATCTGTAGCATATGAAGTACAACTCATATACAATTGTTCAGATTTCTTTATTCAGTAAGAACATGTGACAGTTTACCAGTGATCAGTGGAGGTTTTTGGAATACTTCCCAAACAATACAGGTGGAAGGGTCTATTGCTATCTTTTCTTGCATTCCTGGGTATGAGCCACAAGGAGATAATTATAGCACCACTTGTAGGAATGGCTCTTGGAGTGCATTTAGTCACTTTTCGTGTCGTAAGTAAATCTAGTATGATACCAATCCATATCTTTATTTTTATTATTCGTTGAAGAAAAAACTTATAGCTGCAATACCTTAATAAATTAGTTGACTATTGATGCATTGTAAAGGATGTATTCAGCTCGGGGTATATCTCAATATCTTATAAATAGTACCTATGTGCCTATTTTGTGTTTATTTTTGTTCATACTTTAGATAAAGTGCCTACTGTATATCACTTTTTTCGCATATTTACGCGAGACAGTAATTTAATTTAATTCTCGTGTATAATTGTATTCCTAGAAATTATACAGTGTAATAACCACAATTCGTAAAAATTTTGACTCGCTAATTTTAATTCAATGTTTATCTCTTGAAAATGAGGTGTCACGAAAATGTAGTTATCTGCAGCATATGAATTACAACTCATATACAATTGTTCAAATTTCTTTATTCAGTAAGAACATGTGACAGTTTACCAGTCATCAGTGGAGGTGTTTGGAATACTTCCCAAACAATACAGGTGGAAGGGTCTATTGCTATCTTTTCTTGCATTCCTGGGTATGAGCCACAAGGAGATAATTATAGCACCACTTGTAGGAATGGCTCTTGGAGTGCATTTAGTCACTTTTCGTGTCGTAAGTAAATCTAGTATGATACCAATCCATATCTTTATTTTTATTATTCGTTGAAGAAAAAACTAATAGGTGCAATACCTTAAAACATTGATTGACTATTGTAGCATTTTCAAGGATGTATTCAGCTCGGGGTATATCTCAAAATCTTATAAATAGTACTTCTGTGCCTATTTTGTTTATTTGTGTTCATACTTTAAATAAAGTGCTAACTGTATATCACTTTTTTCGCATATTTACGCGAGACAGTAATATAATTTAATTCTCGTGTATAATTGTATTCCTAGAAATTATACAGTGTAATAACCACAATTCGTAAAAAATTTGACTCGCTCATTAAGAATCAATGTTTACCTCTTGAAAATGAGGTGTCGCGAAAATGTAGTTATCTGTAGCATATAGAGTACAACTCATATACAATTGTTCAGATTTCTTTATTCAGTAAGACCATGTGACAGTTTACCAGTGATCAGTGGAGGTGTTTGGAATACTTCCCAAACAATACAGGTGGAAGGGTCTATTGCTATCTTTTCTTGCATTCCTGGGTATGAGCCACAAGGAGATAATTATAGCACCACTTGTAGGAATGGCTCTTGGAGTGCATTTAGTCACTTTTCGTGTCGTAAGTAAATCTAGTATGATACCAAGCCATATCTTTATTTTTATTATTCGTTGAAGAAAAAACTAATAGCTGCAATACGTTAAAACATTGATTGACTATTGTAGCATTTTCAAGGATGTATTCAGCTCGGGGTATATCTCAATATCTGATAAATAGTACTTCTGTGCCTATTTTGTGTTTATTTGTGTTCATACTTTAGATAAAGTGCTAACTGTATATCACTTTTTTCGCATATTTACGCGAGACAGTAATTTAATTTAATTCTCGTGTATAATTGTATTCCTAGAAATTATACAGTGTAATAACCACAATTCCTTATAATTTTGACTCTCTCATTAAGAATCAATGTTTATCTCTTGAAAATGAGGTGTCACGAAAATGTAGTTATCTGTAGAATATGCAGTACAACTCATATACAATTGTTCGGATTTCTTTATTCAGTAAGAACATGTGACAGTTTACCAGTGATCAGTGGAGGTTTTTGGAATTCTTCCCAAACAATACAGGTGGAAGGGTCTATTGCTATCTTTTCTTGCATTCCTGGGTATGAGCCACAAGGAGATAATTATAGCACCACTTGTAGGAATGGCTCTTGGAGTGCATTTGGTCACTTTTCGTGTCGTAAGTAAATCTAGTATGATACCAATCCATATCCTTATTTTTATTCTTCGTTGAAGAAAAAACTAATAGCTGCAATACGTTAAAACATTGATTGACTATTGTAGCATTTTCAAGGATGTATTCAGCTCGGGGTATATCTCAGTATCTTATAAATAGTACTTATGTGCCTATTTTGTGTTTTTTTTTTCATACTTTGGATAAAGTGCCTACTGTATATCACTTTTTTCGCATATCAACGCGAGGCAGTTATTTAATTTAATTCTCGTGTATAATAATTGTATTCCTAGAAATTATACAGTGTGATAACCACAAATCGTAAAAATTTGACTCGCTCATTAAAAATTAATGTTTATCTCTTGAAAATGAGGTGTCACGAAAATGTAGTTATCTGTAGCATATGGAGTACAACTCATATACAATTGTTCAGATTTCTTTATTCAGTAAGAACATGTGACAGTTTACCAGTGATCAGTGGAGGTTTTTGGAATACTTCCCAAACAATACAGGTGGAAGGGTCTATTGCTATCTTTTCTTGCATTCCTGGGTATGAGCCACAAGGAGATAATTATAGCACCACTTGTAGGAATGGCTCTTGGAGTGCATTTAGTCACTTTTTGTGTCGTAAGTAAATCTAGTATGATACCAATCCATATCCTTATTTTTATTATTCGTTGAAGAAAAAACTAATAGCTGCAATACGTTAATACATTAGTTGACAATTGTTGCATTTTAAAGGATGTATTCAGCTCGGGGTATATCTCAATATCTGATAAATAGTACTTCTGTGCCTATTTTGTGTTTATTCTTCTTCATACTTTAGATAAAGTGCTAACCGTATATCACTTTTTTCGCATATTTACGCGAGACAGTAATTTAATTTAATGCTCGTGTATAATAATTGTATTCCTAGAAATTGTACAGTGTAATAACCACAATTCGTAAAAATTTTGACTCGCTCATTAAGAATCAATGTTTACCTCTTGAAAATGAGGTGTCGCGAAAATGTAGTTATCTGTAGCATATAGAGTAGAACTGGAATACAATTGTTCAGATTTCTTTATTCAGTAAGACCATGTGACAGTTTACCAGTGATCAGTGGAGGTGTTTGGAATACTTCCCAAACAATACAGGTGGAAGGGTCTATTGCTACCTTTTCTTGCATTCCTGGATATGAGCCAAAAGGAGATAATTATAGCACCACTTGTAGGAATGGCTCTTGGAGAATACTTCCCAAACAATACAGGTGGAAGGGTCTATTGCTACCTTTTCTTGCATTCCTGGATATGAGCCAAAAGGAGATAATTATAGCACCACCTGTACAAATGGCTCTTGGAGTGCATTTAGTCACTTTTCCTGTCATGTACCTGTACCTGAATCAACCACTACAAATTCTCTAATTCAGCAAGTAGACGGTTTCATAATGGAATATTACAAATATTTCATCATCATTTGTGTGGTTATTATGGTGTGTTCTGTATCATTTGGCGTTTTAATCTACAGGTAATATGAAAGTAACACTTTTATTATTTTTATTATAATGTATATCAATATTTTCAAGCAATATACTGTAAATGTATTATATTTGGTGAGTACAGTATTTGGCGGAAATTTAACTTATAACAAGCTAGTGTAGATTTGATTTAGCGTTGTCTGAATGTGCTTGTTAAAAATGATAATAGACAAGACATTTAGCGATATACTTGAAATAGCAGTCTTTGTTTTTCGCCAATTGTATTACGTTTACAATATGTTAATTTGTTAGTCTTCAAATAATACATTTTCTACTGTGAAACTCTATTATTTATTTATAGAAAGAAAATCATATCTGTTACAGTGTGAAAAAATACACAAGTGATACTGTGGCACGATGTGAAAAAATATCAGAAAAGTTTTGTGAAAAAAAAATCTGACCTCTGATGAGATAGAGTAAATAAACCCTCCAATCAGATAGAGATTACAACCGCTTAGTGTTCCAAACTTGCTGTTAAAATCATGTTTACAATGTCTGCTTTCGACTTCACAATCCATACTATATGACGTATCAGTTACTCAACTTATCGGTCACAGAGACAGCGTTACAAAAAGGACAATTCGAAAACCCCCCCCCAAAAAATGTAACAAACAGAAAGTTTAATAACTGCTGTTGAATTTGGAATAATGAATTTTCTGGATCATAGTATAAATAGTTTTCATTTATACTCAACAGAAATGCCACTTTTACTCAGTATAAAAAATAACAGTAAAATGTGTGAGAGTGCAAGGATGTGTCAATCAAACCCACCGAAAAATTCGAAGTTTCACTAACTTTAAGATGAAATAAATTGTTTAATATATTTTTGTGAGAAATGCTATTAAGATATTTAAGTTGTGATATTCTAGTATTATACAGAAAATAACTTTAAATGTGTGGCCATATACCCTTTAAGTACATTCTACACACATATGTATTGTAGTGTTGTTAAACGATGAAGAAACGTTTTCTATTGTCTTTGATGATTTAATCTTTTTGTAGAAAATGTGTGAGGTCGAGTAAAGAAAAAGGAAAAGACGAGCCTGAAATACAGAATGCTCAGAGAAATGACGACTTCTTTGCATATAAATTCCCTTCAAGACCGACTTATCGTTCTTTAACTGGGAAAATAACATATTTTGAAGGTTACAGTATATACAAATATGACTCAAAATGAATGATAAAGAAGACATTGTTAATAAGAGCTTTATATATGTAGTACTTTTCACTTGCTTTTCTACATTGACTGTTCAGTATAAGTATAGATATTTTATTTTTACATAGAAATGTCTTTTATTTGCATGTACTTGTTTAATTGAATTTGAATATAGATATTCAATATATAGACATGTTTATATTGTTAACAAATGTTCATATAATAAGGACTCGTATTGTATTGTATATAACATCGATTTAGTATTAATGATATTATCATTAAGTTTGGGAAAGGTTATATTTTAAAGGTCCTAGCATATGCAAGTATAATACGGAAGAACTACAGCCGAGCTAGCTCGTTGCAAAGCAACATATAGGGTCCCACTGGAGCAGCGAACAGGACAAAATTACCTTGAGTCAAGGTCATGCATATGCCACATTCAAAAATAATACATGTACAGTAGGCAATCTTGTAAAATGAAGCAACTTACAATCCTTCGCTGGTTAAAAGACTGTACAGTAAAGAAATATACTTGACATTGAATACTTCAAATGTCCTTGCATAGAACTCTTGATATAAAATTGAATCCATGTGTTACCGACTTGAAAAGTTCACACATGTTCTTTTTAGATTTTCTTTAGTCCATACATTCAGTCAAAAACATGTTAACCTTAGTGACCTTGAACTTGAGTTCTGGCCATGTCACATTCAGTTTGATCAGGCTGGTCAGTTGTTTATACTGGGTATTGGCTAGCATTTCTCAGATGTGGTCTGGACTCTGTAAGTAGTTTACCCATGCTTAGTGATATTGCGTGTCTCCGTTTAAATAACTCATCCTGTATGAACTTGGGTGTGTTCCGGTTCCCCCGGTGAGTGATCTTGGGATTCAGTGATGTTCAGTGATAGCGGTGTTGAGAGCAAGACATGTGGGACGGCAGTATAACTATTTTGTATAAAATGCCACAACCCGGTGTTTTTTTCAAATTTTACAATATTTTTATACGTTTTAAAAAACAATATTCCATGTAAAAGAGTTAGCAATATAGCGAGGATTGTATCTATTTAATTTATCTTCTTGTTATAAGGCGAACATGTCTTCTTTTGTAATGTGTTTGTAACGTCTACATGTAGTATCTTGAACAGATATGTGTTTTGAATATTATATTAGTAAACTCTATGAAAATTGTATGTAAAGCTTTGTTTTGGATGGGAGACTTTGTGTACGTGGTGAGGCTAGGGTATGATGGGGGGGGGGGGGGGGGTTGGGGGTTTGTGGATCATGCATTGTGAACCTTGAATCTTTTCAGATGATCATAATTGGACTATTGGCCATTTTCTTGTGTATTGTACATATGTAGATAAATTTATTGTTTTTTGTAAATGTTGTTTCTTCGTACTCAGGTCTTCCAAAATATCATTTGTTTTGGTTTGGCTACGAATCCATCAAGACTTCAAGTCAGTTATTTCACATTAATTTATCAATATAAAACTATTTTCAATGTCAACGAAAATATCTGAAGCCCATTTCTAAAATTAAATAGTGACCCTCTGAAATGATACATTTTCACGGTCCTTTGTACAGAACTTTATTTTTATCTCTCTCCTTTTTGTCATTTGATATGATGGTGTCTGCAGCTCACTTAACTGTTTTGTATGGTATATCACTATGTATAAAAATCACATGAACCGAGGGGTCGTACATGTTTATTACGTCGAGTTGACAGGCGCATTTATGGCGATACGATACATCCTAGGGTGCTTGAGATGAAAGATACCGCAGAGTCTGACACATGTGTTTCATATTTGAATATGTTGCTTGAAAAAGATCATCGTAAATGGCAATATCTAACAACCAAAGTCTATGATAAAGATGATTACTTAGATTTTTCTATCGTCAAGTTCCCTTACATATGCAGTTAATTCAGCAATAAACCTTTATCACATGTATACGCGGTTTAAAAAATTATCTCAGTTGATTATATATGCAAGAGAATGCTCTACCGACGAACAGTTCTTAAAACAAAGTGAATTATCGACACGCATTTGATGAAACAAGCAAATCAACAGTCTTATTGAAGTAATGGATATATGCCGAATACTGTTCTATATGTAAAATTATCAGACTGTTTGAGGCCCGTTACGGCCGGAAACTGTCAGATAATTTGACATACAGAATAGTATGAGGCATATATCTTACTTAAAACATTGCCATTTAAATGTCCATAAGTTACCTGGAGGAGTCCGATAATAACACAATTGGAGTTCAGGCATCCATTGTTTCCTACTCGTCTGATAAGTAGATAAAAGAAAGGTGACAATAGAAACAGTGAGTGAACTCTTAT